CCCCCCCCCCCCAATCTGTTCTTAACACACTCTGTGAGGGTTTTTCAGGAAATTTCAGGTCCAACTCAAAACAACTGCAACTGAACACCTGCACCACCTTCTGGTCAAAAGTGGTTATTGCATCTGGAGTGGAAGCAGCCTGATTCATCTAGCTGAAAACCTCCTACTGTATCTGGAGTAGAAGCTAACTGGTAAATATGGCCGAATATTTATCGTTTGCCTCAATTGATAACATTTTCACTTCTTACGTGAATTCAATGTTTGAGGAAGGTGCTGATCTGCCAATAATTGGCCTGTATGCCTTACTAGCTGTTAGCGTGCTAATGCACACATTATCACTAGCCAGAGGTCTCAGGAACAGGGATAAAGTTAATTTCACCACCTGCCTACAGGACATACAAGCTTTATGTAATGAGGTTCTGGAGACCAGAACAGAAGCTAGATGATAGGCTTTGCTTTATGTCTTATACGATATGGGCAGAGCGGTCAGAGGACCGTGATGAACTAAAGAATATATGTAGCCAATTAGAAACTCAGATAGGCTCTCTGTCCTGTAATTTGGATACTAAGGTGCAAGATACCCAAGATAGGGTTAAATAATTAGATAATGCCATTAAATCAATGGCTGAAAAATACAAGAGGGTAGATGATAGAGTTGAATCTAGACTCGAATGTTTGGAAGATGGCCTACAGAACAGGGCAGATAGATTAAAGAGGTCCATCAGGTCGATTGCTGAGGAAAATCCTGACCTCGAGTCTAAACTTCAATTCCTGGATGGCAGTTTCCAAGCCACCCAGATGCTGGCTAGAGATGAATGTATTAAACACCTAGAAAACCATGTGGAAGAGTAGGTACATCAATTTACGAATTTGCTGTCATGCCTAGAATCTTTTATGATTAAGGAAATTGAAACTTTTCATGAGGATATCATTACTAGACTCAAGGATTGTTGGGATAACTCGGAGACAGAATCACTGCAATCCGAGGCACCTACTCCACCCAGGTATCTTGATCATTCTAAAGTCTTTACGCATACACAATTGGTCTACCCAGCAACAATGGTAGGGAAGCCACCTACTAAAAAACACCCCCAGGGACAGGTGGCTTATGTATGGCAACCTATACAGCTGAAGGATCTTAAGCATACCAAAGAATCAGTTGTTTCATATGGTCTTCATAGCCCATACATAAAACAGCTATTACATTCATGGGCAACCTTTAACAGGGTGATGCCCACAGATTGGGAAGGATTGGTATCAGTTGTACTTGAGAATTCTTGTCAAATCCAGTGGAAGGCATTGGTAAGAGAAAAGGGAAAGCTTCTTGAGCATCAGGGCATGAGTGTGGGTGATGAAGCCACTTAGGGAAGCAAATGTACAATTTTTGGGAATTGGAACTCTATCTATAGTTCAACAGAGTGTTCACTCAGTGGTCTACATTGGACCGGATGGACAGAAAGGGAGACTAAAACCATACATGGCAAATAAAGTATAAATCTCTGGGGTTGTGATCTCTTACAGCAATGGAACACTAAGATTAATATCCCTCCAGTGTCAGATACGAATTATGTATAATCTCTGGATAGTTGAAAAGACCTGGTAAGATGCTATGGGGAAATGGTTACCAACCATCCAGGCTGTACAGAAACTAAATACAAATGATACACCTTCAGAGGAGCCAAAGGCCCTGCCATTAAAATGGCTTACAGTGAACCTGTCTGGGTAGGAAAATGGCCTTTGACTCTGAGAAGCTAGAGGCTCTAGAAAAATTAGTACAGGAACAGCTAGAGGTGGACACATAGAGGAGTCTACCAGCCCTTGGAATTCTCCTGTATTTGTTATCAAAAAGAAGTCAGGGAACTGGAGAATGCTGACAGACCTGAGAGCCCTAAATAAGGTAATTCAGCCTATGGGCTCTCTACAGCTTGGAATGCCATTGCCTTCCTTAATACCTAAAGGATGGCCGATCACACTGGTGTGGTCCAGGTGAGGTCAGGATGATGCGTGATAGGGTTTTAAGGGGCAGCAAGGCACATGGGAGCCCCTTCTCTCTGGCCTGCCTGCCTTGCTGCCCCTGGTACGCTTTGGCTTACGTTTGGCTGGTGTTTTTCTAATAAAGGATATCTTTATCCCAAGCTCCTTTTATTTCTTAATAGGTACTGAGAACTGAACTCAGGTCCTCTGGAAGAGCAGGAAGCAATGTTAAGTTCGGAGTCATTTCTCATAGCCCCTGATATTAAAAATATTGTGTGCTTCTGATACTAAACATATTGTGGGGGCTGGAAAGATGGCTCAGCACTTAAGGGTTCTTCCTGCTCTTGCAGAGAACTGAAGTTCAGTTCCAAGCACCCATATCAGGTGGCTCACAACTGCCTGTGACTCCGGCTCCAGAGGATCTGACTCTCTCCTCTGGTCTCCATGGGCACTGTACTCACATGTACACCCCCCCATGCATGCACATATATTAGAAATTAAAATGAAATCTTCAAAGTATTTTGTGTTCAGAGTGTGCCCTCTGAGAGGTTCCTGGGAAAAAATCCCAATTTTTTAAATCAAAAAGCTACAGAGAAGTGAATTGATGATTCTGAAAGCATCTTGCAGACTGCCCTTCAGTGAAAGATCCTGTGATGGCTGTTCTTGGTTGTCAACTTGACTACATCTGGAATTAACAAAACCCCAAGTGGTTGGGTACACCTGTGAGGAAATTTTCTTAATTACATTTGAAAGTGGGAAAGACCTATTTTTAATTCAGATATTTTGAGATGGGAAGACATACCTTAATCCAGATATTTTGGGTTGGGAAGACCCAACTTTAATCTGGGTCACACCTTCTAGTGGCAGCCTCTATAAAAGACATGGAAGACAGAAGCTTGCTGTCTTTTGCCTGGTCACCCTCACTCTTGCTTGTAAGTCCATTTCTTCTTCACTGGCATTAGAGTCTATTTTGGTATTGTATGAGTAGTAAAGACTCGCTGAGACATCCAACATTGCGGATTGAACAACTTCTGGATTCTTGGACTTGCTTGGACCACAGACTATTAGCCACTGTAATAAGTCCTGTGTGTGTGTGTGTGTGTGTGTGTGTGTGTGTGTGTTGTATATGTATATGTTTATTTTATTCTGTCAGTTTTGTTCTTCTAGAAAACCTGACTACTACAGAATACAAAGAAAGAAAGCATTCCAAAGAAAGGGGAAAAAACAATGGGGGTGGAGACAAGGAGGGAGAAATGCCTCCATCGTATATCTGCTTTAGGCAGAGTGAGCCTCATGGTCTCATGTCTCAAGCTTTATGTTTCCAGTGGCATGCCATTGGTTGTGTTGCTTTTACTTTCTAGTTTTCAGACCTGAGCTCTGTGGAATACACTGAATTTAGATCCAGACAAAAACAAAATAAACAAACAAAAAACACCAGTCCACCATGAGAGTGGGAGGCCTAGACATGAACCAACCTCAGACACCACTGGAGGAAAAAACAAACAAACAAACAAAAAAACAAAGGCCAAATTTTGAGGCTGTTTGAAGCTGTGACTACAGCCCAGCCAGCTGTGTAGGTTTCGGACAACTGTTAGTACATTAACAAGATTTCCAATTGTGAGTAGCTATTTTCTATGCACTAGGTTAAATTAGAATTCTCTTGTACAGTACAATCAAGGCCTTGAAAGTTGAAAAAACCTAACAAGGAAAATGGACCAGGCTTTTATGAGCTAACTTTAAGTTCTAAAGTTAAATTATAACTTTTCTCTTTAAGTTATAACTTTCAAGTTATAAAGCCCATGTGTTGAGAGAAGATAGGAAGAAAAAAAAAGCAATATATGTCTAAGAGCCAGGAAAAAGAACAGAAGGCAATGAAGTGCTGTTTCTTCCGAGGAGAATGGAAGAGAAACGACCCAAAGTGTCACGTGGGGGTGGAATGTGTAGTTCCTGTGGGAGTCAAAGGCCTCATGTCTGAGCTGTGATATGTGAGTGACAAGCTGAGGTGGAAGTGGGTGGTGGACACTTGGAGAAGGGTAAAGCTCTCCAGCGCTGTGTGCCACTAAGATCTTTAGCTAATGTGAGGTATACAGCTACTCCATGGAAGAGGTTTTCTGTTGTATCCATTGTATATGTCTGGCCTCTGAGTCCCCAGAAAGACTATATCCATGTCTATATCTCTTGTTCATTTTTATTCCTATGTTATGGAACCAGATTCAAAAATGAGGTTGCCTGACCCCGAAATCCAGTCTCTACCACATCACTCTACCCCCACTCTTTAAGCATCAGCTGTCAGAAGAGAAGGGGGAGAGAACAAAACTGCCCAGAAAACTTACGGTGGTGCCTGCATATAAACCCTGCACTGGGGGGTCAAGGCAGGAGGACTGAATTCAAGGCATTAGGGAGATTTGGTCTCAAAGAAATGATAGAAAGAAAGCAAACAGGGCAGAATTCAGTCCTTCTGTTTTCTAACTCCAAACAGACTGGAGAGCTCTGGCCAGGGATAATAAAATAAAGTTGCTGTCTGATGTGTTCTGTGCTTAGATTTTATTTCTGTGTGTGTGTGTGTGTGTGTGTGTGTGTGTGTGTGTGT